CAATCCAGTAGAGCAATTGCAACGGCAACATTTGGCACTACTTCGCACGCATCAATCAGATATTGGTAGACGCTATGCTCTGCTTCGCTGCCTGCACTTTTCTAAACCCACCATTTTTTTTTTCAAAGGACAACGAGCAGGAGTAAGAAGCAAAACCTCGCTGTCTTCCTCAAGAATAGCACGTTCCAAAATTTCCAGAAATTTTTCTCGCCGGCATTTCTTTCTAGTTGACGTAGCATCAGGATCGCTAGGTAGCGGAGTGATATGGTTCCTTAACATATTTTCTCGATGAAGTATTGTTGCTGTAGAGAACTTTCTCACAACTTTTTGACAAAAGAAATACTTGACATGGTTCTTCTCAACCAAAGCTTTGAAAAAATCAAAAACTAAGTGTTTACTCTTCAAGACACAGATTATAATCCATTTAATGAAGAGGGAAAAACAAAATTCACGGACCATGAAAATAGGTGTTCCAGAGTAGACAGACAAAGACGTAGCAAATCAGCTAGTTGATCCGAAACCTGACTTAGCAACATGTACACATACATCGGTACTTCAGAAAACTAAATTTGACGCTCACATCTGTTTCCGTCAGGACTGCAGAGGAATTTAACTGATCTCGGAAATACGAAACGGTCTTCGAGAATGTGTTCCACAGCAGTGGTAATAACTGGATAGAAAGTAACACAGAAAGAAAAGTTGGAAAGATACTGGAAACCACATAAGCACTCACTTTTTCAACCTCGGCCGAGATGTGTGCAATGTCGCCGTGAATGTTTGCAACTGAGGCATCTCCCTGCAATGAACTACATCATCATATGTTTTAAACTCTTTATTCACGTTACCTTTGTCCATGGCAGAGATTTCTTTCCTACTCGAGGGCATACTTGCTTTAAAATTCCTTGTAAGTGCTCGATCAAGAGAATGGACGCTCGTCTTCTTCCTTGGGTTAGCTAAATACTAGCATTCTAAATCAAGTGAATTAACTGCTCATTTTTCGGCCACTAATAGCCCACCTCCGTAAGTTTAACAACAACAGATAACTTCATTGTCTTCATGCATGAAGATAGCTTTGCTAATGGCACACTTTTACCGCTGACTCTGAACATCATAACATTTAAAAAATGCAGAACATAAAGTGAAGCCAGCTACCTCTTCATTCCATCTCCGCTTGAGATTAACGCCTGCGTTGGTGGAAGTATATCCTTCAATGTACATACATTCTGAGCATCACAATCTACATTTAATCCAAACATTTTCCCCACCTCTGCTATC